ATTTTCAATTTCTTCGAGTTGATTATTAAGACGATCTTGTTCTTTATTTAATTCTTTTAAATTACTATCAAATTTCGTTTGTTGTTGATTCATAAGATTAGTAATTTCTTCTGAATGTTCTTGGCGTAGAGTATCAAGTGTTTGTGTTAATTTATCACAATTAGCTAAAGCATCATTATAATCATTTTGTAATTTAGCAAGACTAGCTTTTGTTTCATTAATATCATCATCTAATAAAAAGAAAAAAAAACAAAATGAATCGAAAGTGATCTTTATATAATATCATTTAATTTCGTAGTATTTGAAGAATTTAGCTTTGTAGTAGAGATAGATGAAACCAAAGAATACAGCTAGATTTTTTGTATTTTTGACAAGAAAACTTCTTCAATTGATAAAAAGTTTTTGAAATGAGACTTGTATCCTTAGGAAGAGACTACCGCGATTATGCAAAACATATAATAATTCAGTTCTTTATTACTTTCTTATCAAATTATAGTCATCGTACTGAATTTCTGTCCTTGTACAAAAGGCTACACCTACAATGCGGACACTTTTTTAACCAATTAAGGTAAAATGTTTGCAAAGCAGAATCAGGAGGTATAGATAAAAAATAACCGCATTTTAAAAACTGTCGACAAAGCAGAATCGAGGTAGAGAGATGAAAATGTCCGCATTATAGAATCAAGAAAAAATTTATTATGTGAAGCAAGGCAAAGATACAAGCAATACGAAATGATTCAACATTCAACTATGCTTTGGTTCAGGGTGTGGATGTAGCATGTGATATTCTTGTCCACACCCCACACCCACACTATTTCTATCTCTTTAAATACTTGCGTTCACGGTATAAAGTGAAAAAAGATGACATGGACGACACCCGTCCGTCCAGCGTTACATCAGCTCGATAGAGATGATATCGTCGATAGAATCGATTTGTCTGTACTAATTTTCTTACTATTTCTACTTATTTCTTGATTCTATAATGCGGATATTTTCATCTCTCTACCTTGATTCTGCTTTGCGAACAGTTTTCAAAATGTGGTCATTTTTGTCTATACCTCCTGATTCTGCTTTGTGGACATATTTTTCCTTCAATTAAGAAAAATCGCCCACAATCAAGAAGACACGGATTTTTCTACCTCTTTCTATTCAATTTATTTGCATATGAAATTAATATCTTTTGATTTATGGACTTTATATAAATTTCGAAAAATAAACTGATTATAATAAACGAATGCATCATAATTATTAAGATATAGTCCTATAGAAATAAATCAGGAAAACAATACCACTGCGAGGCTTGTAAATAGTAAAATAGTATCAATGTAGAGAGAGAGAGAGAGATATGAATATTAACCTGTATGTTCATGCTGTTGTATTGATTGATATTTATCTTTATACATTGTTCGTTCTTGAGCTGTTTGAACAAGTAATGATTGAATATTATCTTTTGTTTGTTTTATTTGATGTAATTCATTTGTTAAATTTTCATATTCAGTTTTAAGAGTATCAAAAGATTTTAAATGTTGTTCATTTTCTTTTGATAGATTATCTTTCAATATTTCAATATCATTATTCAATTGTTCAATTTGTTGTTTATTTTTAAGAATTATTTCTTGATAATTTTTAATCAGATCTTGAAATTCTTTATTTGATATTTCAAGATTTAATTTATCATTTATTAATTGTTCTAATTGTATTGTTTTTTCATCAAATTTTTTTAATAAATCTTCATATTTTTGTTTAAATTCATCTTGTTCATATTTAATTTCATCATTAATATCAGTTTTAATATTTTGTTGTTGTAATTGTTGTTGTTCTTTTGCTAATTCAAGATTAGTTTCAAGTTGTCGAACATAAAGACGTGTTGATTCTAATTCTTCTTGTAAACGTTCTTTATCATGTAATAAAACACTTATATCTGAATTAAAATGTTCTTTAACATCAACTGATGTTGCTGATGCTTCTTCTGAATGACGATCCTATGATAAAAAAAAAAAATATATTTATTTTTATATTTTTGATTAATAAAAAAAAAAAAAAAGACTTCAATTTTTTTATTACTGGACTTTATATAAAAACATCATGTTTACTTTAACATAGAAAAATACAAGACATATAACATTTACAAAATACATGCGGGATGCATAAATATCTTTCATTTGATAGTTTTTATAGTTTGAATTTCACTCACCAAAAAATGTTTTACAAAATGTTTCAAAGTGAAATGATCTTCTACTTTTGAATTTTCCTATAAAAATATATATATACTACGAATATGTCTTCTTATCTTTCATTTGCTTTTTTTTTTTTTAATATGATTATATTAATTAAGAAATACAAAAAAAAAACAAATAAACATACTTTCATCAATGATTCAATAAATTGTTGTTTTTCATTTAATTTTTGTAAAAGATCATCACGTTCTGTAATCAGATCGCTTTGTTTTTCTTGATTAGTTTTTATTGCTTCTTTACATCGAGCAAGTAATGTTTCTTGTTTAGTATTCTTGAAAGAAAGAAGAAAAAAAAACAGAAAATTAACCGAATTTGACTGATCTAATGAAGAAATAAAAATTAATTTGATGTTAATATATTATATTGAACTTTTGTACAGATTATAATTTGTACAATCATCTATCTTCACTAGGCCATAATAGTATTATCTCCTTCCCGTATATGGTCAATATCATCATGCAGTACCATAGTCTTTTAGCACAACATGAAGTCAAACAGAATTCCAGAATCATTTATTATACGATGGCGCCGCATCTTGCACTAAAGTTCTAATATTATTGATTATCAGAAGATAGATTTTATGAGATCTATATTATGATATGAGATTTCCAAATTCTGTATAGAGCCACCTATAGAATTCCATAAGATTCAGCGCAGTTTTACTTAAATCTTATGACGTTTGACCGTTTCTGGTTCTCGAAGATGGTACAACCGATTCAGCTGAAAATTTTCATAGAATTGCTTATGACTCCATCAAACTTTATCCTATTGAGCTGAAAATTTTTTTTTGGAGATACCTAAGATTATATCTTAGAAGTAATTTTAAGATCGCTTTCCTTTTTCTATGAGAGAAATACGTAATGATCCGAAGCTAAAATTCAGATCTTGGCTTTTCGGCCGATTTTACCTCAGAAGAATTTTTCCAGGTATCAGTATTAAAAATTTCAGCTAGATTGAATAAAGTTAGACTGGAGGTCGTAGGCAATGGATGTAATGCACTTCGCCGAAAATCGTTTCGTTGAAAGATTCGTTTGCCACTTTAGACTGTTCGAACCTCCTTAATTTTTGTACTGTCTTGTTAAGCATGAAGAGGCCAACTCATTTTGCCTACACCCACAACTTTAGAGCGCCCTGCGTGACCAGAAAATGCTTTCGATGAAGTGCTTTTCGGCGAAGAACATACTTACCTTTTCAGAATATTCATAGTTTATTAAGCTCTACATGATGCATATTGCCCCAACTCAAAAGTGATTAACCAGTCAGACTACTTCTCTCTCGTAAGTCAATTGACATTTTCTAAAATGCATTCTTTCTCATTCATTGGATAATGATCTGTCACCGATACTCATTAGCACATAATCATAAGCAAAAATGACCTTTTACTTTTTAATGAACAAACGTTCATTCTAATATTTAAACATAAGTTCCAGGTAATCTTTTTTTTACTACGTTCGATTTCAAAACAAAAAAAAAGAAACCAATATAACCTTTTCACGAAGATTTCGAATTTCTTCTTGATCTACTTGAACATGATGTTGTTGAACTGTAAGCTAAAAATGGCAAAAAAAAAAAAGAAAAACTAATCTTCTACTTATTAATCTACAAAAAAAACCAATCTTACCTGTTGAGTAAGTTCTTCAATTTTATTATCACGTAATGTTATTTCTTTTTTATATAAAGACTCAATTTGTTCTTTAGCTTGTTGTTCAAATTTAATCTTTTCACGTAAATCAGTTTGTCGTTTAATCGATGTATCTTGATGTTGTTGTAAAATATTCTAAAATCAACAAAACTAGAAGTTTTTCTTTCTGTTTCATTCTTTCATACTTTAATACGATCTTTTTCACGTTCAACTTCATTATAAGCATTTTTTAATTGAATAAATTTATTTTTATAAATATCGAGTCTTTTTTGCATTTTCTATTAGAACAAAAACAAAAAAAAAGAAGATTATTCATTAATAAAAATCAATATTAAATATTTAAATAAACACATACACTATTTGTTTCATGATCACTTTCATCACCACCATGTTCTGATTCAATATCAGATGGTGGTATAAAACTACGTGTTGGAGAGACATAATTACTATTGGTAGTAGTCGTTTGACTAATGTCACTCGAAGCTGAATCTAATCGAAAACGATTATTGTCCTTGAAAGAATAAAACAATAGTTTTTAATGAAAAACAGAAAAAAAAAACAAAGATGTTTCTTTTACAAGAGGATCATCATGACTTGTAATTGAAGGTGTACGAATACCAGAATCTTTTGATGATGAGATCTAATTATAAGAAATTAAACGAAAAGATATATGATGATTAATTGTTCTTTTAAACATACTGAATCAGTTGGTAGAATAGCTGAAAATAATGTTTGATTCGTTTTATTGACTTGTGTAGCTAATTTATCTTTTAAATTTTTAAACATGGTTAGATGAAATGACACGAATCAATCCCAGATGATAGAATGAATGTTTTCTTTTCTTAATAATGAATTTTGTATATTCAATTAAATTGATATCGAATAGAGGGCGCTCGAGATCATCTTTTGACTTCCGATAAAACTTCAAAATCTTCAAAGATTTGAAAATTTATATCATTTAACTTTAATACTATCTTTATTTGATATTCTTATCAAAATCTATAAGATTAGTATGGCATCTATTGAATGAATTTATTATTTCTCCAATAAAATTAATATATAAGTTAAGAACAGCTGTATTGATTTACATACATATTTCTTGTCCTATATGAAATAATAAAATGTTATCAAATGTTGATGAAACATTTTTAAATGATGAATATAATTCATCTATATTAAATAATCTCTCACAATATTCATTTCAATCAACAATTATTCCAACACATTTTAATATGAATAATTCAGATGATTGGATACATGCTTATTCAATTATAAAAAATTCTATTGTACAAATTGAACGTATAAATAATAATGAATTATTACATATAATAAATAATAATCATCAAAAAATTTCTTTGCATAATAATCCACGTGTACGTGGACCTAAATCAACACGATTTACATGTTCTATATGTGGTTTAATAACTGTATCAATGGAACGTTTACAAAAACATATTAATCAACATGGACAAAAACTTCATTTAGAAATTTATCGACCTGAAAAAAAATTATCAACATTAATATGTGAAAAATGTAAAGCAACATTTTCATCAACATATGCATTAAGAAAACATCAACGTGTACATACACGAGGTTTGTTTTTCTTTTCAAACAAAATTTTCAATAATAAAAACTTTTATATTTAAAATAGATAAACCATTTTCATGTGATTTTTGTGATTCAAAATTTTCACAATGGGGAAATTTACGACATCATATACAAAGACATTTAGGTATTAGTCCATATGCATGTCCATATTGTAAAAAAACTTTTATTGCACCATGTAAACTTGAAGTACATATACGTGGTCATCTTGATGAACGACCATATGTATGTAATCGATGTCAAGCAACATTTCGTTGTAATGATGATTTACGTAAACATTTAATTATACATGCTGATTATAAGGTTTCAGTTTTTTCAAAGAAAAAAATCTATTTACTAATGATTATATGATGTATTTTTGTTTTTTTCTAGCCATTTGTTTGTTGGTTATGTACAAAACAATATTTTCATGCATCAAAATTACGTATGCATATGAAAGAAAAACATAATTTAAATGTAATTATTAAAAAAAAAGATGTATTAGAACAAGGTATTGAATATGAAATAACAATTATTAATCAACAAATCAAAGAAATTTTATCTGATGAACCAACAAGAAAAGTATTTTTTGAATCAATAAATAATAATTCAAATGAAAATGAATTACATATAATTGATGATAATATTGGAAATTATCAATTATTAAATGAATTAAATATTAATGATATTGAAACATTTGTTAAATCAAATCCATTTATTTTATCAGATACTGATTTAAAAAATTGTTGTCAATCACATCATCAAAATCATTTTGATGATTTTAAATTAATCGATTTTCCGGTTATGTAGAAGAAGAAAAAAACAAACAAAATAATAGAAATAAAAAAAAAAATTTTTGTTTTGTTCGATTAAACGAATTAATGAATTTGTTTTTCTTTCTTCGCATTCTTTCAACTGAGAACCACGATTTAAGCTCATTGGTACGGTGCAACGTAGACAAAACAAAGTTGTAAAACGGTTTGTGCCATTGAGCTTTCTCAAGTTATGTTCATTCAATCGAAATTGCAGCCTATATCAAGATAAGAGCTAGGAGATTTACTGTTGGGTGAAATTTTTTATTGCAGCCTTTTTCGTAACATCATACTATAGGCTGAAAATACAGTAAAATGAGCATAACTTGAGAAGAAAAGCCTAATGGTACAATATTTTTAAAGACTTCTTTATCAATATTATGAGTCTTACGGAGCCACCATGACTGACGAGTTCTTCTGATTTTGATGATTTTTGTTTTTGCCTATAGATACTAAATAGTATTTTAATAAAAACCCTAATAGGACTTGGATGTATATTGAAGTTTGACAGAACTATCGAGTTTTGATCTGAAACTTTGTGCATATAGAGAACTCAAATAGACTAGTTTTCATAAAAAATTCAGAAGTTTTGAGTAAAATTTCTTCGAGACATGAGACTTTCAAGATAGAGACCTTTTTTCATGGATACTGTATTTTTTTGAAAGATTCATATAACACATATCCACAAGATACTATGTTGAATCCTCAGTACCGCCAGCCGAACTAATCACTAGCAGCTATTTGTCTCGAATCACTGGTCCGATAGCATGCTGACTACTTTGTGACGTACAGCTGCTTTAGAAAGCGCAAGAACTTTGCGTCAGAACGACTTTCTGTCCAAAGCTGCAACTAGTAATAGTTGTAGGGAAGATATCAGTCTATTGAATCTGCTACTAGGCAGCGTACCATGCCGAAAGGCAGCAGTATTTTTCTTCTTCCATGATTTCTACCTATGAGCTCAAAAAAAGATTATCAGCTAGAAGAGTTTCTTTATTAGACTATCAGTTCATTAGATTACATTTGGTATAACCCACAATCTATTAAATGAATTGAATAGTGTAACTCTATTTAGTCATATTTTAAAAAGAAAAGAGAATGCTAGTAGGTCAAAAAGTTTTCTTCGAAGATTTAATTTTCTGTAAATCTCTGAAAGAAATTTAAAAAAACCATCTTCCTAGTGATGATGCTTTTCGGAAATTTTTCTTTCTCTATAGATTAGAGCGATGTCGAAAATTTAGTACGATATTTAGCTAAGGATAATCGTCCGTCTTTTTTTAAAATTCAATTTCATCAGTTAAAAGTAATAGATTACAAGACTATTGAGCTATTTGACTAAGAAAAAGACTTTATAATTTCAATTTTAGTCTTGAACAAGTAACTTCGATATAAAAAATTTTTTTTAGATATGTCTGAACTAACAATTAGTTCTACTAATTGGCTTGCTATATCCTTACGAAATGATACTGCTATTGTATTCAATTTAAATGATACACAACAATGGCAATATCTTAAAACTGAAATAAATGATAATCAATCAAAAGAAACTACTCCTACGATAATTGATGATAAACAACAACAACAACAAGAAAAACCTGAAGTTGGTGGCGGTGATGATGATGATAATATTAATGAATTAAATCGTAATCTAATTAAATTTACACCTAATGGACAAAAATTAATTATTAATGGACAAAATAAACAAATATTTATTTATATATATTTAAATAATGATGATAATAATAATACAAAAATATATTGGCAATTACAACGAATAATAACAATAAAAAAACGTGCTTCAGCATTAGATTTAACTAATGAATTTCTTGTTATTGCTGATAAAAGTGGTGATGTTTATAAAACTGATTTATTAATTGATCAGAATGTTATTCTTACATCAGATGATTGTATTATGGGACATTTATCAATGTTACTTGATACTGTATTTGTTTCTATGAATAATAATCAACAATATATATTAACAACTGATCGTGATGAAAAAATTCGTTTAACTCATTATCCAAATGCTTATAATATTCAAGGTTATTGTCTTGGTCATACGGAATTTGTTTTATATGTTAAATTAATTGATCAAAATCATATTCTCTCAGCATCAGGCGATGGTTAGAAATTATTATTTTTTAAAATTAAGACAGAAATCATAAGACCATAGAGTATATGAGGCATTCAATATAAAAATGTTGTTTTTTATGTATTTAATGCATCGATGTTTGAAACTACCAAAACTCAAAATTTTAGCTTCCAAGAGATTTTCTTTGAAAATCTAGTCAATACTAACTTTTTAAAGTTTTATAAGGTCAACATGAATGAAAAATATTTTTCTTTGACGAGTCTAAGATGTGCATTTGATAACAATCTATCTCATCGGAGAGCTTCGAGCTGAATTTTATATATGTCATACAACCTTTTTCTTCTCTACAAAATGATTTTAAAAAGTATTCAAAAATAAATAGTATATTGGGAACAAAATGAGATTCACATATCTCTCTCTCTTATATAGCGATTTTTCAAAGGAACAAACTTTTTAAAGGGTCATCCATAGAGAACGATCAGATAAAAAATGCTTTTTTCGACTTCTCTAGCCAGATTCATCGAGCCAGCCACTACCCACTAGAGTCCGTCGGGTCCAAGAATTTCTGGACCCGAACCCAAACCTTAGCAGTAAAAGTTTAAAAATCTGGGCCCGAACTCGACGAACACTACTACCCACACAAAATAAGAAGGTTGCTAGTGTTCTGGCTACGCTCCTATGATAAGCAACAAACAAAAATCTAATCTATTGCAAGGCTTTTTTTAAAATACATTGTATTTTAATGAGCAGAAAATAATTTTAACAAATGAAGTTCAATACTAGTGAAACTCGAACAGCTAATAATGTTCATATTAATGCTCCAAAAAAAATCACTACCTTACCCATGTAGCATTATCTTCAATTATTTTAACAACAATATTCATATTTAATTCATTTCCTATTTAAGATTGCTCTTCAAAACGAGCGAAGAGTCAGATTTTCATGGAATATTGTGCGCAAAAAAAAGAAAATATTCATAGATGCCCAAAAATGTTTGAATTCTTCTTAATGTGACACTCGGAACCATCGTCAACAACTACATTGAATCAAATATATACATTTTAGAGAAACTTTTTTCCTGCGAAAATCGGCCGGTGTGGAGAACATAGGTGATTTTTTTCACAGAAAAAAAATTTTCTAAAATATAGTTTTCGATGCTGATTCCGAATATCACATTTATTTCGTTTTATAATTGTGTCATAGCAATAAAATTTGCTAATAGTGTTTTTTTTTTCTATTGAAAAATTACTATATCGGAGAGAGATATGAACTCGGTTTCGTCCAGAATACATCATTTATTTTTGAATATCTTTTTTTGCTATTTTGTGCAGAATAAAAAGTTGCATAACCTATATAAAATCCAGCTCAGAGTTTTTTTATTTTCAATCTCGGCAAAAGATAGATTGTTATAAAATGGATATCTACTTATAGAAAAATTGGAATGAAAACCAGTACAACTTTTATAGGGCGTTTCTTTCGAAAGAATATGATAGTGGTAAAAAAAGTCGGTATTGACTAACTTTTCAAAGAGAAGGTGAAATTTTGTGTTCAATGATTTCAGACATCGATATATTAAATACATAAAAAAAAAGGAAATTTTCTTATCGAATGTCTCGTATACTTCATAGTCTTATGATTTCTCTTGTCAATTCTCTTTTCATTTTAGGTACACTTCGTCTTTGGCATTTACCCGATTGTATACAACTTAATGTATTTGAAACAAAAACATTTATATCATCTTCTAAACATTTATTTTATGGTTTGCCATCTACTACTTCTGAAGATAATGAATTATCATTAGATTCTTCACAAATTAATTATTCAATATGGAAAATGGATATTGCTTCATGTCGTTTAATAAATTCTAATATGACAGATGTTTTTATTGCTTTATCAATTTACATATATCGAACACATTCAATATATTTAACAACTTTAGAAAATCTTGAAAAATCAACAAATAAACAATATAAATTAACATTTAATTCAAAATATGGTACAATTATAGATTATTGTTTTTCATCAAAAGAATTTATATCAACATTACAATGTAATTTATATATATTATTTGATAGTAATATATTACTTAAAATAAATATTATTCCATTATTATCATCATCATATGATAAAAATGAAATATTAGAAAATGATACAACAATAAGTACAATAATAAATACAAATGAATTTAATTTCATAAATAATATAACTTCAAATGAAATAATATTTAAACAATTATTTAAAATACGTGGAAAACCAGGTGATAGTTCATATTATAAACGTAAAAATGAACGTATTGAACAACAAGAAGAAAAACGAAAAAGAAAAAATCAAGTATCAACACAATTTCAAGAAAAAGTTGCAATTAATGATAATGTTTAAAGTCAAAATAAACTTATTCCATTATAACCTGATGTTTCTGAGCTCATATTAACCCTACAAGAAGATTTCAGTCAGACTAGGAAATAACGTAAAACGACACATTTTTAAGTATTTAATAAAAAAACACTTGAGAGTCCTCGTGCTTTTTTTTTGATCAAAAACTCAATGTCAAGTTGAACATTTTGATAGTAATCACATTGAAATTCTTTGTTTTTGTTTAGTATAATGCAAAACACCAGTTTTCTCAATCCTACCTGCTTACGACCTCTCTCTCAAACTTTGTCCGATTGGACTGAAATTTTTACCACAGATGCTTCGAAGTATTTTCCAGAAGTACATACAATCAGCTGTTTTCATTCTGCACTTTCCCATCCGAATTCATAACCTCTGAGTATTTCTCTCATCAAGAAAAACTTTCAGTCAGATTGAATAAAGTTTTGATGGAAGTTGTTATGCACCATGATGCGATTCTATCAAAAGCTCTCTTGAAAATCTTTTCCTTGAACACATGTCTCCTTATTCCGCGTGCT